AGCGGTTTTGCCGCCGCGACGTGCCTTTCGCGCAGGTAGATGCGCATTCGCCAGACGAGGCGGAATGCGGGGCTGTCGGCCAACTGCTCAGTCCGGAAGAGGCCAGCCGAATTGTTCGGCCTTACCGTGACATTCTGCATTCCGTTCGGTTTCCATACGAAATGTTGTCCTTCTCGCGGCTCCACTCGAAGCCTGAGCAACTGCAACCCGAAAGTTTCAGAACCATGCAGGCCCACTTTTGCAACAGAAGGCAGTCCGATGCTCTTTATGGTAGAAACTCGGAGCCAAGCGTGTCCGGCATGTTGCCCTGAACTACTTCTGGCGGCCGCTCTGCAACATGGCCAGAGACGGCGATGTCCATGTGACCCATCCGTTCGATCTTCTGGACCAGCTGCAGCAGGGTCATCAGCTCGCTGTCGCTGCCTTCCTCCTCAAGTTTCACATCTTGAATTGGTTTTATGCATGTTGACGTGACAGATGATGCATGCAACAAGGCCCCATCCTCCAGGACGACTTGCACGGTGCACGAGTTGAACTTCCAAGCAATCACTTTCTCCGGTGTTTCCCGAAGCGCGGTCTCTGCTTTGCCATCCAGCAGCCAGGAGCCCGCACCATATGTCAAAAACGGGATTGTCCCAGGGATCGTTGCCTCACATGTGGCAGCGACCCACAGCTCATACTTTGCTGCTTTGCCCGTCTCACCATCATAGTCTGCCGGCTCCACGACATAGCACGTCACACCCTGAACTCCTGCGAAGGCGTACTTTGCCTTGACCTTGCTTTCCGAGAATTGTGGGACATCCGGGAAAATCGAGGTCCAGTCCACTTCCGGGATCGGTGTCTCGCTGGCACCGGTCTGGGGCGGGGCTGAGACTGAGCCCGCTACTCCGTAGCAACGGTCGAAATCCCTCAAGATGTCCTTCCACTCGGGGGCCCTCACCGGATCCCCGAGGAACATTCCTCTGATGTCGCGAGGAAGCGTCAGGGCATTGTCATGCAAATGGCAAATCTGGAAGCTTGGAGCGTCTGCCTGCAGCGGCAGGTTCGTGGGCTCGGGGACAAAGCTCGGGCGAATCTTGTCGAAGGGTGCGGCTGCCTGCTTCCACAGATTCAGGCAGATATGCTTGTATGCGCTGCAGCCAGTCCTCGGTTACTGTGACCCTGAGTCTGTCTGCCAGCTGATAATTATTGCTTGTCTGAAAACGCCGAGTTTCTGAAAGGCCCGATTGTCATCTGCGCAACTATAGCTTGTCATAGACATGTCCAGGCATGCAGCCTCCACACATCCATCGAAGAGGGAACAGTGCACGACCACGGTTCGCTGTCTCAGCGGTAGGTCATCACCTGAGGGATGCAGGACAGGCCGGAGTTCATCTCCGGGGTTGTGTTGGGTTCCTACGTAATGCCGTAATTCAGAGGAATGACCGACCAAGCGTTGAAGGATGCATGCGGGGAGGTCTTTGCCGCCCATCCACTGTGCGGTCTCCTGAAAATCCGTCAAGTTCCTTCTCCCCTCGTGGCTGGTTGCAGCACTGAGGGTCACATAATCGGATTCTGCAAGTTGCTTGGGTCGAGCGCCCAGGGTTTGCCTGGTCCAGAGAGCACTGGAACACCATTGATTCACGCTTGTCGGATCGACTTTTTCCGAGACACGTGACACTTTGTGCCCCGTGCCCTTGCTGGGAAGGGTTGCATCAGAGATGCACAACAGGGCCATATAAGCCTCTGGGCAACTGCTGTTGGCGTGAATGTTTGCAGAATCCATCACCACGTGAAACGGGCGGAAGTCCAGGTTGTGGTGCAGCAATTTGTCTTCCAGGCGCCTTTCGAGTTTAAACTTGCTTTAATGCACAATGCGGCACATTCCAATGACAGTGGTACTGCGCCTCACGTCGGCACGAAGCGACCCCGCCCCGCTGGCCGACGCCAGAAGGGGCAGCAGGACGACGATGCATGTTCCTTACGAATGTCAGATTGAATCTCGGCAGTGCATGTGCCACGCGGCTTCTTTCTAATACTATACATGAGGCCATGTTTCCAAGGGGGTTCCTCGCAACCAATTTTTCAGCCCAATTGGCGATCTTGTCGATGTCCGTCTGCAGCAGGATCCCGAACTTTGTTGCGTCGATGTAGCCAATGACGCGAAGGTTGGAGATAGTCTGCGAGGTCTTAGTCGCCACGTTCTTCATGAAGATATCGAAGCTCGGAGGGAGAACGAGGTCCGTGGTGGCCACCATGAATGCCTTGCTCTGCATGTGAGCGTCCACAAGCCTTACTCACATCACACGCATGCGAATGAAAAGCGCAGCAACAACAGGATTGTGCCATCTCTTCAAAGTTTAAAGCTCAAGTCAGGTATCTTTTTGCCAATCGTCTCCTGCTCCTTGTGGTGCATGACAGTCAGGACGTGCCGTTGGGACTCGATTCGAGAGCGAGCCATGTTGTACTCTGTCATGGTCTTGCTGTCCGCCGCAATGCGAGCCTTGACTTCTGCAAACTTGGCCTTCGCCGCCGCTTCCTCGGCCTCTTGGAGGTCCATGGACATTGAATCCTTCAAGGCGGCTGGGACGGCCGGCCTGTCGACAAGCTCTGCCCACACCTGCAAGCCCTGCAAACGGAAGCACTCGTTCTTGCTTGCCGCCGCAACTGTCACCTCATCGAAGTAATCCCTGAGCAAGGCGAGGCATCAAATGCAGACTGGTCAAGACACACTATCAGCATCATGTCTAGAATAGCATCCAGCACCATCCAATTCTGAATTCAGAGGCGAGTCTTGGCAAAGAAT